GGATTCTGACCCTAAATGGGGACTCTGACCCTAAAATGGGGATTCTGACCCTAAATGGGGACTCTGACCCTAAAATGGGGATTGTGACCCTAAAATGGGATCTGAGCCTAAAATGGGGACCCTGACTCTAAAATGGGATCTGAGCCTAAAATGGGGACCCTGACTCTAAAATGGGGACCCTGACTCTAAAATGGGGACCCTGACTCTAAAATGGGACCCTGACCCCAAAATGGGATCCTGATCCCAAAACGGGGATTCTGACCCTAAAATGGGGACCCTAATCCTAAATGGGGACCCCAACCCTAAATAGGGACCCTGAGAGGGTGAGAGGTGATCCCAAAACAGGGATTGTGACCCTAAATGGGACCTTGATCCTAAATGGGATCCTGATCCCAAAAACGGGGATTCTGACCCTAAAATGGAGACCCTGACCCTAAATGGGACCCTTCACATTTTCCTCCACATCCCCCTCCACCCTTTCTCTCTCCCCTCAGCTGCTGCGTCTCTCCCGTCTCCTGTTGGGTCCGTGGTTATGGCGGGCGCTGCTCTCGCTGTCCCTCTGGGGCCATTTTGCCGTGGGTGACGCTCCGGGGGCCGTTCAGAGCCTTTCCCGAAAGCTGCGGACGCGGGGGCTGCGGCCGATGCTGGCGCTGCCCATCGAGGGAGACGGGAGTGACACAGAGGGGTGAGAGTGGCACTTATGGGGCACTTATGGGGTGAGAAAGGCACTTATGGGGTGATGGGGAAAGTTATGGGGCACTTGTGGGGCAGAGCGGGGGCTGCGGCCGATGCTGGCGCTGCCCATCGAGGGAGACGGGAGTGACACAGAGGGGTCAGAGATTTGGGAACTTATGGGGCACTTATGGGGTGATAGAGGCACTTATGGGGCACTTGTGGGGCGCGGGGGCTGCGGCCGATGCTGGCACTGCCCATCGAGGGACAGGGGGATGACACAGAGGGGTCAGAGATTTGGGAACTTATGGGGCACTTATGGGGTGATAGAGGCACTTGTGGGGCACTTGTGGGGCGCGGGGGCTGCGGCCGATGCTGGCGCTGCCCATCGAGGGACAGGGGGACAATGGAGAGGGGTGAG